TCAAACATTACTGTATGGAATGGGAGGATGCCAGATGGAAGGATAGTCCGAGATATATGGCGTAACCACCACAGCTGTTAAATAAACACTAATTATTCACAATTTATTTGGTCATCTTTATTTCCTACAAATACAAAAGCAACAGTAATTATTTTTCCTGTTGGATTTTAATATTCTTCCAATATTGTGTATCTCCTCTTCTTCATCTATCAGTGCTGGTGCAGGTCCAGCCTCTCGATTCTTGCTGTTGGCCCAGTAAGTCAAATGTTAATTTCATTAGCCTAATAAAAAAATGTAACAGGTTGGATTAGAGAACATTTAATTGTGTGAAAAGAGCATTGTACTACATGGAAACCGCTGCGGCACATGGAAATAGACAATTAATTATATTTATTTAATATGTCAAATGTTTGTCATGTAAGATTTAACTGATTGAATTATGGTTTTATTGTTCATTTTTAGTTGCTGCCGCGTTCTTTTTTGTTTCTTTTGTTTGTTTTTTTTGCCTGTGGGATACCATGAAAATGAGTATTAGTTCAATAACTTACCTTTCTGTCAGTTTTCACCTGATAATATAACAGTGATTAAGAATTACACTTGTGTATTGACTCGGAAGTATGCGGATGTCTTTTTGTCGGGTGCTGTATGGTGAGCTTTTAATAGGTTGGCCTGCGTTCCAGTCCAAAATTGTCATACCCTTCTCTCGTTGACTTGGCTAACTGCCCTCCGTCTCGTTCACTCGGATGTACGTCATTGCTTAGGTTTTACAACAAGTGAAGTGCCCACTATGGTGGAAACTGCAATGGGAATGTCCTAAGCCCTTGATCACTGGAATCAGCTGGAGTTGATTTATTATTTACATTTGTTTTCCCTTTAAGAATTTTTTTAATGCAGCATCCAAGTGTATATAGGTAGCCTATAGGTGTGTTTGGGCTGGTTTAAATAAAAAAATATATAATTAATATATGGGGTTGTTAAACTTGTTCAAACTTTACTTGTGCAAGGTTAACGCTACACAATGATCCAGTCGATGAAATGTTTTTTTTTGTTTTTTTTGTTGTTGTTTTTTTTACAGCAGAGCATAACCGGGAAAATAGATTAACTAGGCCTAATTGTATTTTTTATTTTATTTTTTATTAATGCTTAACACAAATAATAACAGATAACAACAGAATACAAAAACAACAACAAAAAATAACAATGGGGGAATAATATAAATTAAACATATTGATAAATTATAAGAATTAGGCTACATGACACTGAAAAAAGGAAAATAATTACAAACAGATAATGTTTTTAAGGCTTTTTTGTTCTCAGACAACTTAATTGAAAATAGATATTTTTCAAGTTCTTTCACAAATATAAGAAAGAGAGGTTTGGCATTTAGTTATTTAGATTTATAGACTTTTTTAGATTTATCATAATCAACAAAGCCTAGGACCACATCCTTCCAATACAACACACATTCATTATAGATTTCAGACCTAATAAATCCTAAAACATCTTGCCAAAACATTTTTCGTAAATGGACAATACCAAAAAAGATGAACTACAGTTCCGGCAGAGTTGTCACAGTCACAGAAAGAGCAACTGGAGGAAATATCCTTTTTGAACTTTTGAACTAGATAGTGTTTTGCAGGGTTATGAATTATTTTAAAAGAAATCTCTTTTACTTTATTGGTTAAAAAAAAAAGAGACATCCACACTTTTTTTCCAACAGATATTACCAACTGCATTATTCCAATAAGCGATCACAGGCGATAAAGTAACAATGTCTTGCTGATATAGTGAACGGACTGATCTATTATTATTTTTATTGGGAGAAGCAAAGCACAATTTGTCAACAGGAGTATTGACCAAACTCAGAGAGACTGGAAGAAGAGAATTAAACTACCTCTCAATAAAGCAAGAGCACCTGATGGGATTTAATCCTCAACTATTGAAAATTCTTTGGGAGAAACAGGAAATTGAAATCTAGAAATTCTTTATATGAAAACAACAACCCTTGAGAATTGATTAATTGACTCAATAACAAGATATTTTTATCAAACCAATTCTGAAAAAATATAGATTTATTCTTGTATAAAATATTACAGTTATTCCAAATAAAATATTTATGAGGTGAAAAGTTGTGCTTAAATATCAAATACCAAGCCAAAAGTAATTAGTAATTAGACGAGATCTGCGTTGACGTCCCAATCGTGTTGCATTGTGGTATATGGAGCTGCCTGAAGTGTACTAGGGCTGCGTTCCAGTCCACTTTTAGACATGCACTTGCAAACTTCCCTAAGCACTTCCCCTCAGGGGAATCCCTGCCGCCATTTTGAAGTGGGTTTCACTACGTGAAGTGGACGAGGGAAGTTTATATGGACAGACACTCGTTCCCTCGATTTAGACAGAGGGAGCGAGTCTACTTCGTACACTTCAGGCACCTATATGTCCCACAATAAACAACAAACCACTCTATGATATATTAATTATATTTTTTTATTTATTTAAAACAACCCAAACACATACATATGCTGCAATAAACAAATTCTTAAAGGGAAAAAAAGTAAATAATATATCAACTCCATAGCTGATTCCAAGTGATCAAGGGCTTAGAACGTTCCAATTCGCTCATTGCGTGGTTTCCGTCAGTAGTGGGCACTCGTGCAACGTAACCAATGACTTACATCCAAAGTGAACGAGACGGAGGGAAGTTAGCGAGTGAAGGGTATGACAATTTTGGACTGGAACGCAGCCCAGAGCCCGTCTACGAAGAGCCTTGGCAATTCCTATTAGCCCCATTGTATCATCTTGGTTGCAGTTTCATTACAATTCCACTGGAGGTGATCGCGGGCGAGTGCAGACTGAATGGGAGTCTATGGAGCTACGGCTAAATGTATCTCTTTCTCCTGCTTGTCGTTGAATCAACGTGTAGAATTATTGTTGATTCTGCAAGTTCAATATAGATTAAAGGCCAAAAGTCGAATTAATGAGTAGGCCTACTTATGTCCTTTCGATTTCTTACAGGTTGGGGCGTTGTTGGCCGGAACACGCTAGCATTCTGCTAGACGGATTTGCAACTGATTACAACCAGAGACCCCGTTTGATGGCACCTGAAGCTAAAGCAGAATCAGAAACATTATCTTAAGGAGGACTTTCTGTCGAAGTTAATTTTTGTGTACTGTATTTATATTTTCCTCCTTATTGAAACAGGCCCCAGGACGAGGCCGGTGGCGTGATTGCTGATGAGCGACACCTGCGCAACGCACCGGTCTCATATCTCTGGAGGAGCGGAAGCAAAGGAGGAGCGACGACAGTGAAGTAAGAGAGAGGCCAGGCCTGGACTTATGTTATATGTGACAGCAGTCATCCATGAGGGGCTGCTGTCATTACTTTCATTTTATTATTAAAGTTGTTAAATGTTCGCCTCCTACAATGTTGTACTTGGTAAAATCATGTTCACCCTATAATGCATTAAAACTAAAGCAAGCTGTACCTAAACCTGACAAACAGAAGAAAAAGAAAAGAAAAAAAAACGAACAGGAAAACACACTGACCATCTTAAAATTTGCAATATACTGGAATTAATATTCAGAAGATGACAATTGTAGAAATCATTCATCAATTTATATAATAATTGCTATATATAATTGTAAACATTGGATTTGTGTCAAAACCTCCAAAAAAGTTTAATTAGACTGGACCTGTGCAATTCCTCTACCAACAGCGCCACCAAATGGAATTGCAAAAATAATGACCATTTTCAGACAGGTTTCCCCAAATTCAATCCCAGTCTGCCCCTGGTCGGCAGAGGAATGATTTAATACAGCAAATGACATGATATTTTTGTCTCTGTATAATAAAGGAAGTACAAGAAAGTACACCGGAAAAAGTTACACTCATTATCTTTAAAAAATGAAATGACAATTTGAGAATACATGATTAAAAATTACTTTGACTCTTTCCCCCACCATTGATGGAAATTTCAGGCTATCCGTGTTTTCACTGTTATACGCTAGGGGGCGTTATGACTCATCTTGTGAAAGAGTAGAGAATCTCCAGATCAAAACATGTGTAGAAAAAGCAGAAACAAGCGATAAAATATGTAATCATGTCCATATGTAAAATAACGCAATCATCAACATTAAACAGTATAAATAAAAACTGCCTAATGTTACCGAATGAAATGTCGACCCAGGATGAGCTATAGGACTGTGCAAGCATTAGGGGTGTTGATGGACTCAATCTACTCCATCTATGTTTTGATCATCGTTCTGAATCAGATCCAGACGTAGTCTTTGACAAAATCATAAATGTGAAAATTATCAGAAATTCTGGCGTTGGCAGGCAACTTTTTTTTCACAAACGCTGGTGGAGAAAGAGTTCAAATACAGTAAATGAATACCAGCAGTGCAACTCAAAGTATTTAGTGCAGGAATGTAAAGTAAGAACAGAACAGTTTAGGGGACATTTACATAACACCATTTTCAACTAAAAAATGGAAACGTTTTGTCTGTTCATTTATACAACAACAGCGTTTTGGGGGCCTGAAAACACAAACTTTTGAAAACAGTTTTTTTGAAAACGATACTGTTATCGTCTCCATGTAAACTACAAAAACATGAATTTGTGAAAACTGACGTCATGCACATAGGCACGTAGTGTTTCTTTAAAAAGTGACATCGCCAACTACTGGCCTGGCATGAATAATACAGCATTTTAAGTCGTTTTCGCGGATCAGTGTGAACAGGGATCGTTTTGACAACATTGTCGTCTGTATGCGAAAAACACACAAAAAAAACTTGATAGTATTTTTACTATTTTTAGTAAATTGTTGTTTAAAGTCCCTTAAAGTCACACCAATTCCACAACAGCATTACAGCATTGTCATATGCTGCAAAATTGATTTAAAATAACAACTGTTTGTTTAACATATATAACAACATTTCTTATTAACAAAATGACACCCAGGAAGTAACTGTGGTATAAGTGTAAAAACTGACTTTGGACCATTGAATTATTAAAAATTGTAATTGCTGTTGCACTGACCATGTTCAAACTGTAGCTAATTGATCCTGTTCTATACACATTCATATAAGATTAAAGTTATTTAAGATTAAAGCGTATTCCTGGCTGAGACATGTTGTAGAGATGATCAGTGGTTGTTCTTGACAGAAGCAGATGTGGTTTCCTTCTTAACTGCCACGATACGCCACATTTTGGAAGGTGCTGGTGGCTCCTTTGTAGAGCGGATTATTAGCCTTAAAGACAGGAAAGAGTTTCATAATGACCAGTGCTGCAGAGCTCATACATATTAATAATGAAAGTCTGCAAGATTAACCACAAGCACATCTGTACTTCTCACTTTGACCACTTGGTGTCCATTTGACACCATTCTTGGTGTTGAATGACGTTATCTTTCCTGAATGTTATCAAAATGGTAACACTTTACATTTGTTAAAGCTGCAGTCCGCAGTTTTTCCTCTTTGTCGCCATCTCTGTTTGAAATCTGCAATTGCAGTCATTCGCGGAATTATCAACTTTACGTGAGTTGTACTTCGACACGGCACAGCGCGGATGAATCCAATGTTTGGGGAGAGTGTGCGGCTGTCAGTCACTGCGCCAGTGTGGATACTGGCATTCGGAATCACAGATTATTCTTTTTGGATGTAAGACCATAATAATTTTCACCGGAAAATGTCATCTGAACTAGTAAGTAACATCCATTTTTGTTCTGGTTCTGACATTGCAGTAAATTGCGCTGATTAAATCTAAAAATCGCTTATCATATCACGCAAAACCGTGCAAATTATACTTTGTTCTCAAATTGTTAATGTTAACAACGTCAGTATTGCGTGACTACATGTAATGCCCTTCCGATATGTATCCTTGTTTTCACATGGGTCCGGTTGCAGTCTCTTTTTTTCTGTAGTCACTCCGAAGTCCGAACGAAGTCTTTTGTATTTTACAACGGGTGAATCTCTAGTTGTCACTGGTGATTGTCATTTGAACCTTTCTGGATCCACCATCAAATTGATAAGTTTAATTATATCAAGTGCTGTGAGAAAAGGCTATAATTCTCCACCTCCAGCATCCTCACACGCAATATAGCCTACTGGCCGAGACTCCTTCTTTATGTGTACAGATGTGACGTAATGACGCAAAGACATGCTCGAATCTCCCGCGGAAATCCACCAGTACCACTGGAATTAAAAACAGCATTACAAGCTTACCGTTTTGAATCAAGCTGAGGCTAGCAGAGAGTTTTGAACACTGGCTGGTGATGTATTTTCTCAAATATGTATTTTGGATCATTTTTAACCCCCAAAAAGCTACGGACTGCAGCTTTAATATGAACTAACAATGAAATAATTAATAAATCTTAATGTATTAATTCATTTACTCAAACGTAATTAAAAATCAAAAGTGGATCTATTCATATTTAATGGACCTGAGCTAACAAGGAGTATTTTATATTATTAACTAATGTGAACAAAGATAAACACTGTTAGAAATGTGTTGCTCATTGTTAGTTCATGCATTAATGGGACCTTTTTGTAGAGTTACCATTAAAATTATATTACATGTCTATGATTCTACACTCTGAAATTGAAAAAAGGTTCAATGGGGTTCTATATAAAACCATAGGGTTCTTGACTCAGTTTTTCAGGAGAAATGTCACTCAGGAGAAATGTCACTCTATATTTAAAGGTTATTTAATTTTTTTCTGTTTAATTCATAAAAATTTAAGTAAAATGAATTAAAACTAAATTGATTTGTAAAGATAAAGCCATAAAATGATCCCATGATGGGAACCCCTAAAATGTTCTGAAGCAACAGACAGAACATTTTAAGGTTCTATATAGAACCTTTTCTTAGGTGACAGTGTTATTTTGTCTGAGATTAAACATGGCAAGACTGTGAGCATGCTGGAAGTTCTGAGAGGAAGAAAGACTAAGAGAAATGCTGATAACATAATACCAACAGAATATGGATGGTATTGCATAATAGTCTGAATGCTCATCTCACCGCTTCCCACTTAGCCTTGGCTTTCTCTTCCTCAAACTTGGCAAATTCATGACGGTCGTGAATGGTGATCAGGAGCTTCCACACCAAAAGCGCAGCCAAACCCAGCAGCAGGACCGCACCAGCAACCGATAGAGCAACCACCAAGATGTCAGGACCCTTCGGACACTCTGTGAAAAAGAAAAAAATCATACTTTATATTCAGTTGCCATTTGAACTGATCTCTTCAAGATCTATTATTCTGTTTAATAACTAAGTGTCATTGTGTGGTCAAACATGGAGAGGGGATGAGCATCTAATTGATTCAGTTTAGATTTAATAAAAGAAACAAAACACTCAGGAGCACAGTATTCGATTTCAGACGCAGCGAGAGAATATGTGACAGTAGGAGAGGTACAGCAAGTATTTATCAGTCTCTCACAGAAACACAGATTTTATTAGCATGAGCAGTGTTTGACAGCTACATGTCACATATTGTCTCTCTCTGCCCCTTCTCTTCTCTCACCTGCTTCTTTAACAAGATAGAGAAAGGATTTTCCACTGGCATCTTCATAATACTGGAAGTTCTGAACACAGTCATCCTCATCCTTGTAGCTGCAGTTCACTGCGTTCTTCTCGCGAAAGACTGGAGAGAACAGATGATTATTAACTCTGCGAGAAGAACAACTGAACACAATATACTTCATGAAAAACTTAAGGCTAAGTCACATATAGCCAAATGAAGCTGAGGTAAATAATGGCATTATTAACAGAAATCAAAATACTGAAGTATACTATAGATTAGGTGTATACACTTTGTCTGTGTACAATGGAAAACAGCTGTTTCAAATTGTAATAATGTTTCACAAAATCACAATTTTTGATCAAATAAATGCAGCCTTGTTGAGCATAAGAGACTTCTTTCAGAAACATTTTAAAAAATCTTAGTGTAGTAATATAGGCTACTGCGGTTGGAAGGCATGTATTGTGGATTGGTTGGAGGTAGAGATTACCCAGCTCATCCACCGGCACAATCTCATCTCTGCAGACGTGATTGCAGTTCTTCTCAAATAGATCCCCTCTCTTATAGTGTTTACACTCCACACACTCCCTGCAGATGCACACATAAATCCACTTTAAACAGTTAAGTAAAGAAAGAAAAAAAGCACCTAAACATACATACTCAATGTCCACACACAAACATTAAGTTACCTAAATAAAGATATACTGTGGTTTATTGATTTTTACATAAATGTTCCAAACTTTCACCCTACTCTTTAAGTCACAATACTGTATGTATATTTTTGTTGTATCACTCCAAAGTAGTTTCATCATGTTCTGCAATTCTTCTAATGTCTGAACCAAGGTTATTTTCGTAGACGAAAACTGAAACTAAGACTAAAACTATTTGTTAAAAAACATTTTCGTAAACTGAAATAAAATAGAAATTTCAACAAAGGAAAAACTAAAACGAAACGAAACGTCTCGGTTACTATTGTAACCCTCATTCCCTGAAGGAGGGAACGGGAGACGTAACGTCGACGTGACAACGTAATTGGGATCACTTCAGGGAGCCCGAGCATCTACAGAACGAGCCAATGAACGTTGGCGTGCGTGAAACGCGTCATGCGCCCCGCAGGTATAAACAGGAAGTGGGCGCACGCACACATTGTTTTTCGCTGAGGAGCCGAGATTGAGACGGCCATGCAGCGATGGTCAGCAACCGTGGCGACGGGACATTACGTCTCCCGTTCCCTCCTTCAGGGAACGAGGGTTACAATAGTAACCGAGACATTCCCTTTCAGTCGCTCATGTTCGACGTAAATGTGACGACGTAATTGGGATCCCATGGAAAACGCCACGGTTGATGCCACATCTAGCGCCCTACGCAAGACTCTCAGACCCCCAACTGGCTGGGGCGGAAGGCCTGCGTAGAGGGAGTTAGGATTGCTGTTCCGTTATAACCCACACAGTGGAACTCTTGGATAACACTGGAAAAGCGTGCCTTTCCAGGGGAAAGGGACGCTGCAGAAGCTACATCCTGCCCGAAGGATGAACACACATATGGACTGGCCGGTTTAGGGGCAGTGCAACATATGGAATGTCACTGGGGTGGCTCCAGCCTGAGAAGGGGACTCTGCCAAGGGAAAGACATGGGCTCACCGCAGGGAGCTGGTTGTGAAAGAATACGCATATGGGATCGCCGCAGGGATCACCACATATGGAACCCAGCCTAGCACAATTTACACAAGCATACGAGTACTAGGCCTGACGAAGTGGTGCGGAGGAACTCTACAGGGTTCGCCTAAGTGGGGAACTTGACTGGAGCAGAAAAGCGAACGTATCCGCTCCATGTGGAGGGGAGTGGCGCAGCAAGCCGAAACTAGAGCGGGAACATCGGTGTTACCGGCTAGTTGAAGTGAGCACACAGGAAGAAAGCGGCTCAACACGTAGGCTATAAAACCCAGTGAACGTGTTAGGTGTCGCCCAGCCCGCAGCTCTACAGATGTCTGATCTGAGGTCCTGAGGCTTTGCGTTCTGTCCACGTACAGGCGCAGAGCGCGGGCGGAACAGAGAAAAGCCAGGGCTGGGTCTGCCTCCTACGAAGGCAGCACTTGCAGGTTCACCACCTGGTCCCGGAAGGGAGTGGTAGGAACCCTGGGCACGTATCAGGGCCGGGGTCTCAGGATCACGTGAGAGTTAGACGGGCCGAATTCTAGGCACGATTCGTCGACCGAAAATGCATGCAGGTCCCCCTCTTTATGGAGGCCAATGCAACCAGGAGTACTGTTTTACCAGACAGAATTTTTAACTCAGCTGATTGCAAAGGCTCGAAGGGTGGTCTCGGAAGAGCCGAAAGGACCGGAGACAAATCCCAAGAGGGTAGTATAGAGGGTGGGCGAGGAGGATTTAGTCTCCTCGCCCCCCTCAGGAATCTGACGATCAGGTCGTGCTTTCCCAACGACTTACCTTCAACTGCATTGTGATCAACATACACTTTAAGGGTGGAGGGAGACAGCCTTCGCTCCAACCCATCTTGCAGGGAGGAAAGCACGGCTCTGATCGAGCAAGTTCGGGGGTTCTCCTCATGAGAACACCACTCAACGAATATGTTCCACTTCAACGCATAGAGGCGCCTCGTAGAGGGGGCACTAGCGGAAGTGATGGTGTCAACTACCGCTGGGGGTAGGTCACCTAGAACCTCCGCGTCCCGTCTAGGGACCAGACATGGAGTTTCCATAGGTCTGGATGCGGGTGCCATAGGGTGCCCCGTCTCTGAGAGAGCAGGTCCTCTCTCAGAGGAATGGGCCAGGGAGGGGCTGTAGCGAGGAGCACCAGCTCCGGGAACCAGGTCCGGTTGGGCCAATATGGCACAACTAACAAGACCTGCTCCTCGTCCTCCCTGACCTTGCACAAGGTCTGTGCAAGAAGACTCACTGGGGGAAACGCATACTTGCGTAGGCCCGGGGGTCCCCTCGGTCAGGGAATAGAACAACTGGCAGTGAGACGTGTCCGGTGCGGCAAACAGATCTACTTGTGTGGTCCCGAAGCGCCTGAAATCAGCTGGACCACCTGGGGATGGAGTCATGGAGTCAGGTGTGTACATAAATTAACTCGATTCATTATTCTGTGATTGACTTTTGTTTGTTTTTTTATTTTGTCTGTGTTAGTTGAAGCTGCTCCTAATTTTTTTTATCTTACACCACCTGCTAACGTGCTGCCACCTGCTGCCGTGAGAGCTCGTAGGCTGCATGGTTGAGCAGGCCCGGAATATAAACGGCACAAAGCGGCCTCAGATGCATCTGACTCCAGAGGAGGAGATGGCGGGCGAGTTGTGACATGCAACGGCAGCGTAGACCACCCTGGCGGTTGATGTACGCAACGGTCGCAGTGCTGTCCGAACGGACCAGTACATGCTGGCCTAGTAGCAGCATTTTGAAGCGGCCTAGCGCTTCAAGATGTACTGCTAACAACTCGAGGCAGTTGATGTGCCAATGCAGTTGAGGTCCCGTCCACAGACCTGAAGCTGCATGCCCATTGTACGTGGCCCCCCAGGTGGTGGCAGAGGCATCCTAGGGCAACACCTGCCCGCAGAAACGAAGGGTCCGACCACAAGCTGAGAGTTTGGCGACAGTGTGGGGTCACATGGACCCGGCACGAGCCGCTCTGCCACGCCCATATCGGAACTCGATCATGGAGCCAGTGTTGGAGCGGCCTCATATGAAGCAATCCGAGCGGTGTAACCGCGGCTGCAGATGCCATATGGCCCAGGAGCAGTTACGCCACTCGGATTGCTTCATATGAGGCCGCTCCAACACTGGCTCCATGATCGAGTCCCGATATGGGCGTGGCAGAGCGGCTCGTGCCGGGTCCATGTGACCCCACACTGTCGCCAAACTCTCAGCTCGAGGTAGTTGAGAATGCGAACACCACGCTCGCACATGGGAGCAATGGCCGCCTCCGCGACTTTCGTGAAGACACGGGGCGACAGGACCAGCCCGAAGGGTAAGACTTTGTACTGATATGCCCGTCCCTCGAACGCAAAGCGAAGAAACGGTCTGTGTCGAGGGAGAATCGAGACATGAAAGGACGTGTCCTTCAGGTCGATCTCTGCAAACCAATCTGCACTTGAAAATGCGTTTCTGCGTAAGCATCTTGAACAGCAGCCTGTGAAGGGACCGGTTCAGGACACGCAGGTCCAAGATTGGTCGTAACCCACCGCGTTTCTTGGGTACAATGAAGTACGGGCTGTAGAAGCCAGTCTTCATATCGGCTGGAAGGACCGGCTCGATCGCGTCCTTCACCAGTAGGACAGCGATCTCCGCCCTGAGCACAGGGGCACTGTCCGCCAGAACACGGGTGAACTGAATGCCCCTGTGAGCTGGGGGGCGCTAGGCGAACTGAATCGCATAGCTGAGTCTGACAGTACGGATGAGCCAGCAAGACGGGCTGGGAAGCTCTAGCCAGGCTCCAAGACACCGTGCAAGCGGGACCAGCAGCACCACTGACGTACCCGGGGTGGGGCACCGCAGCGGAATACAGGGACCCGACTCAGACGGCATAGCGGAGTGTGTGGTGCAACACGTACCTGCTTCCGTCGAAGGGCAGAGTGAGTGTGCGGAGGCGTCCGGGACACAGCCACTGCTGCTCGCTGGCGATGAAAGAGTGGCTTGAGGGTGACAAGGCATAGCGCCGTCGACCGCCAAGACGAGCTTGGCGGTCGACGGCGCTATGCCTTGTCACCATCAAGCCACTCTTTCCTCTTGGGACCCAGAGGTTTCAGAAATTGAAATTGAAATTGAAATTGAAAATGTGGGTACACAAAGAAACACAAAGAAAAGGAAACAAAAGACTCTTCGCCCAACCCAACCTGGGACAGAAGGGCATCCAGGAACCAATACTTATCGGTGTCCCTTATGGACCACCAAGGTGGACATCGCCTGACCCACGGAACGTGCGGTTTCTTTCGTCGCCCGGAGAGCGAGGTCAGTTGCCACACGGAGCTCCCGGAGGAGCACTGGGTCAGAACCACTCTCGTTCATGTCCATGAGCGCCTGGGCCTGGTGGACCTGCAGGAGCGCCATGGCATGGAGGGCGGAAGCAGCCTGTCCACAGGCCTTATAAGCCTTCGCCGAGGGACCGGACGAAAACTTACAGGCCTTAGACGGGAGGCGAGGATTACCCCACCAAGAGGAAGCGGACACTGGACACAGCTGCATCGCAACGGCACGCTCCACTGGATCAATATATCCACATACCCCTTAGCTGCCCCGCCGTCGAGGGTGGTGAGGAGGGAGGAGGCACTAGGACGGCTTCTGGCACTATACGGTGCCGTCCACGTCCTAGTGAGCTCCTCATGCACTTCAGGAAAGAATGGTACCAGGGAGGCGCGCTGAGAACCAGCACGGCCCGCCCCGAGAAACCAATCGTCCAACCGGGAAGGTTCGGGACGTGGTGGAGGGTTCCACGCAACCCCGACCTTCTCGGCGGCCCGGGAAAGCATAGCCGGCCATTCTGGATCGAACTCAGGCAACGCTACACTCCCCGAAGGGGGCAATGCAGCCGAATCGTCATCTCCAGAGGACTGAAGCTCCCCCTTCGATGCTGCGATTGACATCTGGTTGTCAGGCGGAGCCCCAAAGGACACGGCTGGCCGTCCATGAGAAGGGCCAGTGCGTTCCTTTGGAGGCTCCACCGGTGGCAGCGCTTGTGAGGTGTGAGGGACCCGCGGAGATTGCCTCGGCGGGGAAGCCCTCACGGTAATCTTCAGATCACCCTGGTCATGCACTGAAATAGGTCTATTCTGAGGTCCAGAATAGATGCTAGATCGGGGCATAGGCGAGGGGACTGCACCTCCCTTGAGGTAAGCGAGTCTCGATCTCAGCGCTGTCATAGTCATATTCCCGCAATGGGAACATGAACTATTCACAAAAGCTGCCTCAGCGTGCTGAATGCCCAAACACGAGAGGCAACCTATTGTGGCCGTCTGCTGGCGCCAGGGAACGACCGCATTCAGAAACGCACAAGTGGAATGACATCCTGAAAAGGACGCAGGGTCACGCTTGAGTTGCTCTTTTAATGAAAACAAAAAACAGAAAATAAAAACCTCTTCAGTGCTGAAGCACCCAGGAATAGCCGCGGTGTAATCGGGGTACACACTCAAAAGTGGATCACCCACCGAGACCGACACACACACACACACACACACACACACACACACACAAGCAATGCTGCGAAAACAGCAGTTGTGAGCTATAAATGCTCGCGGCCACCGCTGATCGCACCATCACACCAGCACTGGAACAGAGTTCTCCTACCTGTCTTCAACACAGTCTACACAATATAGCAGCAGTCTGTAGAAACTCAGAGTCAAAACGAAAGCTCGGCTCCGATGTGTGCGTGCGCCCGCTTCCTGTTTATACCCACGCTGCAGGGCGCGTGACGCGTAACGTTCATTGGTTGATAGGGCTCCCTGAAGTGATCCCAATTACGTTGTCACGTCGATGTTACGTTGAACGTGAGCGACTGAAAGGGAACTAACAACAGTTACTGAAAATAAAACTGAAATAAAATAATAATTAGCTAAAATAAATAATCGTTTTCGTAATTAATAAGCTCTCATCCTGTACCGGAAAATCAAGTTTTTCCATTGGACTGCGCTACTTTATTTTTCAATGTAAACAAGACAGATGGATGTATGACCGTTGCGGCTCTTTTGCAGCCTTAAGAAGCCGAAATGGCCAAATAAATAGGCCTATTTCCATCATGTCTAGACCGTATGCAAAAACAGCTGTAGGCCTACCTTAATTCGAGGTAAAATAACCATCTCATGTGAAACTTAATAATCAACAAGATACCACACATATTAAACAGAAGACCACACTGATGAGAAAACAGAAAAATTATAATTATCATACGCATATTTTTCTTTCATTTTCTTATACACCATGTTTAACAAGATTTCATCTTTAATATGAATGAGTATGAATCAATAATTTTTACTTTTAAATTGCATTTGTTTGGTTATTTGTTCAATCCCAAACAATTATTTTATTTTATTTTTTATTATTAAGAGGTTTTCACAAAAGTTAACTGTAAACTGCAAACATTAAACTTTGCTAAATTAATTGTCTTTTACTGGAAGTATTCTGTTAACTCTGCTTAACTATAATTACAAAAACTGAAACTAAATATATAAAAACTAAATATAAATGTGTTCACAAAATAAAAACTAAACTAAAACTAACAGAACCATTAATGAAACTAACTAAAACTAAACTGAAATTTATAGAAAATTTGAAAATGATATTAAAATGCAAACTAATTAAAAAATGCAAACCTATAATAACCTTGATCTGAACTTCATCCTCACCAAGATAGGAAAAATTGCCGACACACACTCACTTTTTGATGGTGCAGGCATCTGGGCAGGTGGGGCACTTCTCACAGGTTGATCCATAAGCTCCTGGCTGAGTGCACTCACAGACACCACACACACAGTGTCCACGCCCACTACAGAGCATTCCTCCACTCCCCATACATGTGTCTGTGCGGGTCGAACAGTCACAGCTCTCGCCAGACCATCCCGGACTACAGTGACAGGACCCGCAGTTGCACTCACCATTACCTAACGGAGACAACAAACATTAATGGCTGTTAATGACTTTATAGGAAAGTAATTTTAGGGCATTGCTGAAGGTGAGGGTTTTTTCACCCAAAATGAAAATTCTGTAAATGAATGTAAGCTATTATTTTTTCAATGGAGCATAAAAGTAGAAATTTTGAAGAATCTACAAGCAGCTCTTGATATACGACCGTTCATAGTGACTACAGATGCAAAACTCATTAACAAGTACTGTATTAACAAGACAAGTATCATTAACATAGTCCATATATTTCTATATGCCACTAATAACTTTGTGTGGCGATAATTTAAGTGTATTGTTACATTTTCCAAAAAAACATCACTTAGTATGATTTATAAGCTGTTTTCCTCATGTAGACCATGAAGATGTGTATACAAACTACTATTCAAAAGTGAGAAATATTTTTGGTAACACTTTAGTTTAGGGTTCAATTCTGAATATTCATTTTTTATTAGCATGCATATTACTGATATTGGCTGTTTATTAGTATTCAAAAAAGCACATATTAATGCCTTATTCTGCATGACCATATTCTACATCCCTTAATCCTACCCAATACCTAAATTTAACAACTACCTTACTATTAATAAGCAGTAATTAGGAGTTTATTGATGCAAAAGTCGTAATTCATATAGTTAATAGTGAGAATTGGACCCTAATCTAAAGTGTGACTTATAAGTGTGACCATATTTTTTGTTTAAAAAAAAAAAGAAGTCTCATATGTTCACCGAGGGTGCATTTATTTGCCCAAAAATACAGTAAAAACAGTAATATTTAGAAATATTATTACAATTTAAAATAACTTTTTTCTATTTTAATATATTTAAAAAAGTTTCTGTGATGGCAAAGCTGAATTTTCAGCATCATTACTCCAGTCTTCAGTGTCACATGATCCTTCAGAAATCATTATGCTGATTTGCTGCTCAAAAATTGTCTTATTGTTATCAACGTTGGCAGCCGTAGTGCTACTTAATATTTTTTGTGGAAACTGTGACATTTTTCAGGATCCTTTGATGAATAGAAAGTTCAAAAGAACAGCATTTATTTGAACTAAATGTTTTTTGTAAGATTATAAACGTCTTTACTGTCAATTCACATCACAATTTACAATCCATTCCATGCCGATTTTAATCAACTTCATGCCGTATTTAACATAAAAATCTTGACCCCAAACTTTTGAACAGTAGTGCATGTAAATATACTGTATATATTCTAAATTAAACAACAGTATGTGTGTAAATCCTGAAATACAACATGCTGTTACGTAATACCAACATAGTGTTTGTTATTGAAGCAACAAAGCATTAAACTAAAACATCAACATTTCCCAATTCAACATATTCATTTCAACACATAATTCAAAAGAAAAGCAGTTGCATAACCACAGTCACTAAGACTTAAGTCTTAAGAGTCTTAAGTGAGTCTTAAGAACCAGCAGCCATATCACCCTGTAGTCCAAGACTGGTTGCCCACTGAAGCTAAGCAGGGCTGAGCCTGGTTAGTACCTGAATGGGAGACCTTCTGAGAAAACCAGGTTGCTGCTGGAAGAGGTGTTAGTGAGGCCAGCAGGGGGTGCTCACCCTGTGGTCTGTGTGGGTCCTAATGCCCCAGTATAGTGACGGGGACACTATACTGTCAAAGAGCACCGTCCTTCGGATGAGACGTTAAACCGAGGTCCTGACTCTCTGTGGTCATTAAAAATCCCAGGATGTCTTTCGAAAGAGTAGGGGTGTAACCCCGGCATCCTGGCCAAATTTGCCCAGTGGCCTCTGTCCATCATGGCCTCCTAATAATCCCTATATATATACACTGATTGGCTTCATCACTCTGTCTCCTCTCCACCAGTAAGCTGGTGTGTGGTGAGCGTTCTGGCGCACTATGGCTGCCGTCGCATCATCCAAGTGGATGCTGCACATTGGTGGTGGTTGAGGAGATTCCCCCTTCCATGTGAAGCGCTTTGAGTGCCTAGAAAAGCGCTATATAAATGTAATGAATTATTATTATAACTAGCCTTACCAACTAGCAGTTAGCCAAGGAGTAACCAGTCTTACTTTTCAATCTACCCGTTTAGGTAACTTAAAAAAAAGTTATGACCGGTCTTTAAAAAATAGATGACTAACTTGTAAGACTAGTCTAAGCAGTTTATGCGACTGACCACTAGTTTGTACACTGTTTTGTTCATCGTGTGTGGTTCTGGTAAACCTCAAGTTGTGGAGACAAAATGTTGCAATACCAGAAATCTTTGTCCTTGTGGGGGCATTTTTTGGTCTACCCGGTTCCACCTGACCAAGTGTCGAGGTGTCCATGAGCAAGACACCTAACCCCAGCTGCTCCCGACGAGCTGGATGGCGCCTTGCATGGCTGACACCGCCGTCGGTGTATGAGTGAGTGAGTCAATGGGTGAACTTGAGGCAAATTGTAAATCGCTTTGGTGGCCATTAGGTCTGTGAAAGCGCTATATAAATGCAGTCCATTTACCATTTACATGAGGAAAACAGCTTATAAATCATACTAAATCATGTTTTTTGAAGATGTAACAATGCAGAATGTTTTCTGTGAAGGGTTGTGTTTAGGGATCGGGTTAGGGGATAGAATATACAGCTTGTACAGTATAAAAATCATTGTCTCTATGGAAAGTCCATATAAAACATGAAACCCAACGTGTGTGTGTGTGTGTGTGCGCGCGCGCGCCAGTGTTTTCAGTTATTTATACCCAGAGGCTATACTTGTCGACTCTAATTCTTCATATAGTTCAAACACCCACACATCAGCTCAGATATTTAGCTAATGCCTAATAAAAACTATTTCAAAAGGCATTTAACTAACAATACCCATCACACAAGCTACTGAAAGTCTCACTTTTCCAACCACATTTCATGCATTTAACTGTTTAGCTGAATAGAGAATATGACGTGAGCAACATAAATCATGTGACAGGCTTCAGGCTGCTGGAATTTCAAACAGGATGTGCACAGACATGCAAAATTGAAGATCATCCTCCCATAACATCAACATCAAGCATATCTGATTGAGTCGCTGTTTGGTTCTAAACGTGCATGGATCAAATGGCCTAATATGGTGAAACACTGTCTTCGCGATGAGGCAAGAACAAAAAGCTGTGAGTGATCCTTTACAAACATGCAATGCTTTATTTGTTCTTTTAAGGCCATTGTATCCAACCTTACCTGAGCACATCAGTCCTTTGGAACGGAGGCAGCTGAAGTCGTCACATTCACAGTACGGCCCCCAAACCTTCCCAAATTCACTCGAGCGACAGGCACATTGGCCGCACACACAGTCTCCGCGTCCGCTACAGGCCGGGGTTTCTGGGTTGGGGCTGCAGCTGCCTTGTTGGCTGGGTTTATATTCGCCCTCGGAGCACTCGCATCGAGAGCCCAGTCGGCCCGGATCGCACAGGCACACGCCGCACTCCAGGGTTCCATTGCCGTAGTGACAGGACGGGCTGGCGGGCTTGGAGGACTGCTGACAGCTACATTCACAGGCAAAGTCCACAGTGACATGAAGGCTGTCTTTAAAGCCCATTGGCTTCACGATGAAGGTCCGACTCTTTTCTTTGGGACAGCCGTGAAGTTTCGCCTCAATGTTAAATGAAACCTATGGGAAAGTAAGATACGGAACTGTAGAGCATGGCACTAGCAATATTGAGGTGATGAGTTCGATTCCCAGAGAATGATTGAGCTGAAAAAAACGTATGGCTTGCAATGTCAGTCGCTTCTGATAAAAGCATCTGTCAAATGTGAATACAGTCAAACCTAAATTTATTCAGACACCCTCAACATTTCTCACATTATCACAGTTTTTTCGCTATAGTTTGATATGCTAGTTGCAATCATATGCTGATATGTTAGTAGGTTGTTTGTTTTGTGAGAGTTGTTAGATATATGTATTACACTGTATAATTGTTCAGTTTGTGGTGTAAAAAGGTCGCATTAGCAATTAAAGAAAAAACACTTCAGCAAAAAATGGTCAGGTCAAGTGTCTGAATAATTTTTGGTCCCAAATTTTTATAAATGTTACTGGTAGTCCACTGTATGAAGAATCTTTGGGGATAATATGTCACAGGTTACTTTGTTTTGCTATCCTCACTTACATAAATTAACTAAAGTGTTCTGCACCCGCCACTAGTAAAAAAAATATCTAAAATTATATCTGGTGTCTGAATAATTTTTGGTTTGACTGTATATTCCTTGTTTACAAAATAAACAGTGTTTAAATGAACCTCACAGAGTGATATTAATGTATACTGATGGGTACACAAACTATATAGTTGCTAAATTTCTAACATCAGTACATCAGATGCTGACCATATCTCCGATTTTGAGTCCGTCGCAGGACCGGACACCTGCAATGACCTCTCCACCCATGCATGTTGCGTTGATGAACAGAGATAACTCATCCGGCACACCCAACAGCTCCAGCTCAACCTTAGACCTGATCTTCTACAAAGACAAATGGCACATAGAACAAAGGTCAACCTCTCTGACTTCACCCTTTATTTGAGTGTAAGCCCTGCTGGCTTGGAAAGGTAAAATATAAGACTGGTCAGAGTGGCATACCACCTACTACGATTTAAACGAAAGTATGTATACTTTATGCACATATACATTGTATTTTTGTAATATAATCGGAGAACACTGACTTGACTCTGGATGCTGTATGTATTTGCAATGCTAATATCTGGTTAATTTTTAGGAACACATTTAAAGATATCAGAGAACACATAATAATTCAAAGCAAAGCAGAACACGAAGTTCTCATAACCAACAAATTCCTGCCAAAGTGACTTACTGCATATGCATCCAGAATGAGTTGCACAACATTTCCAGAGTCTTTAGTGAGCGTTCCAACTGCAGAACCAGGAATCAGCTCACTGTAATTCTGTAAGAATGCAGGAAACATGAAAACATATGATGTTCTATTAACAAAGTTCGGGAGGAGCACGTTCAAATAATTGATCCAATTATCACATCATTCCAACCAGCTGTCGACCATCAGTAATCAACATGTCTATCCAATCAGCTCGAGTTGGAGACCTATATATACACACATTTGACTCACCAATGTTCTTCGACAGTTTTTCAGCATCCCTCCACCAACCCGTCTCCTCACACTCACCTGGTTACTACTTAAACCAGCAATACGGGGGGAGTACTTTGGGTTCGGGCCAAATATCCGAACCCGGAGCCCTCTCCCCGGACAGCACGCCAAATATGCATACCATTTATTCTATCTAACTTATTTGTAAGTGTGAACTAGTGAACCCATTAATGTGTGTAAATGTTATGCACAAACGTGTTGTAAGTATGTATTTGACAAAAATATAGAAAACTCACACGATATAATGGCACCATAGTGCTGGTTACAGCAAAGATGAGGTTGATGTTATTCTCAGATATCTTGTCCGTGATCATGCCAAGTGAGGGATAGTCCTACAAATACACATATAAAAATAAATATATATATATATATACGTATATATTATACAATTTATCTATCTATCTGTCCGTCCGTCTGTCTATCTATCTATCCATCTATCTTTCTATCCATCTATCGTCTGTCCGTCTATCTATCTGTCTAACTACACATATATGACCAATCAAAGGTTTGTGGTCAGTAAGATTTCTTTTTGTTTTTGAGGTTGCATTTATTTGACCACAAATACAGTAAAAACAGTAATACTATGAAATATTATTATAATTTAAAATATCTTTTTTATTTTAATATATTTTAAAATGTAATTTATTCTTGTGATGTCAATACTGAATTTTCAGCATCATTACTTCAGTATTCAGTGTCACATGATCATTCAGTATGAAGGTAATATGATGCCATAAAGAATCGCATGCAGGGTAAGATTTGTAAAAAGTGTACATAAGATTGCAAGCGTAAATTAAATTTGCATGCGCAAGAGAAGATTTGTAAAGGTGTAAATCGCCTTTCAAGTGTAAGAAAAAAATATTTGCAGCATTTTACTGTTATTCGTAAGTGTAATTCATGTATTATGAAGCTGCAGCTTTATGCTAACGCAAAATAAATGTGATCTGTATTCTTCTGACTTTCTTTTTTTTTCCGCTTACACTTTTGGGACGTTTTTTTCGCACAAATACGGTCAAAAGCATTGCAGGCCTGTGAACAGAAATTTGCAAGAGAAAACAACAGAGTCAGGAACTGCAAAACAGATTGATCGCATAAAACCAACCTTTGTGTAAAAAAATTAACTGTTTCAGATCCCTAAATGACTTCTTGTATGCATGGGGCAAAAAAAGTTCCCGAAATAACCCTGCACAGTTGCGTCTTTCTTTTAGCTGCGCTAAAACTTATTTATTCAACATGTATGTGTGCATTAAAAGTACCATTTCGGCCACGAGAACGATGCTGAGCCAGAAGAAGATAAAGATGTGTTCTGGCGACTGGCGTGTTTATTGAACCAATCAGATAAGAGTAAATCGAGAGTCAGCGAGAAGCTCATTTGATTGGCTACATGATGAAAGTGGACCCGCTTGCAAAACTCAACGAGTTTTATTACTTTCATAATTCAGAAATATAGTGGCCCCAAGAGCTCAACGCGCTGCAACTGAAGAAAACACATGCAAATAGAAAAACACCCGCAAATTAATAAAATATCTTCAACAGTGTCACAACACACGTGTGCTCCAAATACTCACAACACAACCAAATACAGAAACGCGCTGCAAATAGCACAGACCACAACGGAAATGTTTCCAGGGGATCCCAATAAGTGACGAACCCGGCTGGGACATGCTTATTGCTCGTGAGCTTCCCTATGGGCTGGCCTACTCCCTTCGAAGGGCAGAGCCCTTGAAGTGGGGACTTTGGAGTGAGCAGGGCACTTTTTTTCAGCTCATTGTTAACTCTTCTTTTCTTATTTGTATTCTGATGACATTGACATCTTTTGTCTCGACTACAGGTCTTTACTGTCACTTTTGATCAAAACATCCTTGCTGACAAATTTTAATTTCTATATAAAAAAAGCTTATTTTTGAAAGGCTACACACACACACACAAACACACACACATATATATATATATATACACACATAGCGAGAGAAAGAGAGTGAGATTTGTCCAATATATGTTGGCTGACCAGTATAGTGGACTTGTCATATTCATTGTTGTCATTGATATAGCACTCTCCATCATGGGGCTGGACGATTCCAGCCAGCTTGGCATCCAAAGCCAAATGACTTCTGTCATCACTTGTGAAGATCAGCAAATGAGATGCATCAGGCCTCCATCCAATCTTTTCCTGGAAAAAAGAGAAAGGAGGTCATACAGAAAGGTAAAGAGAACGGATGAAATGGATGAGACACAAACAGAGTACGAGGATATCATAGAGTTGTTTAATTTGTAGACCAAATCCAATCACAGGATATGCCCATTCCCCCATATCCTAGGGGTTATGTTGTACATCCATTTTTGAATGCGTAGCTCAAAATGCTCATTTTCTTTAAGATTTGGGATTACAAACAGACCAGCTTTACTCAGATTTATTTTTACATATTTATTTGTATTGTGTAAAGGATTAATATTGTCAGTTTTTCTTTGTGTGTGCTTTTTGTTACCTTGCATACTACTGCTTGTATGATAGCATCAAATCCGCCCTCAGGGGCATCTCTGTTTCTGGACACTTTCTGTTTCTTCACTTCCTCCGTGAACCGCTCTACCTGCTCCGTCAGAGACAGTACATTACGATAGCCGAATTGCGGTGGGCAGGGTTCAATAGACCTACACCACACACAGCAGGGAGACAGAAAAAATGTAGTCACTCTCTCTAAATGTCATGTGCTTTTCTACAGGACAATGTGAGATGAATTTGACCTTACTTATGGCAAGGGTTCTTGATGACTTCTTCAGAGTACATGTACATATAAGGTGAGAGCGTTTTGTCTACAAAAGCTCCAAATCCCATTTGTAGATTACTGGTGACAACACGCAAGGCACTGGCCAGATCATTGCCAAGGGCATAAAGCTTCTGCAGGTCGTCCTTCATGGTGTTGGTCATGTCCATCAGGTAATACAGGTCAACTGGGTAATCAGATACTTGCTTCACTTTGACGGTGAATTGCTTTGAATCGTCTTAAAGAGATCGAAGGGAAGAAGGAGTTAGAACTATCTAAATCTGAAGACAAAACTCATCTTTTTGACTTCTTTTTCTAATGGACATGGATTTTTTGAGAACATGATCTGTTTGCGGTTAGAGAGACAATAAGACCCTTTTACTAGCTCATGAAACATACTTAATATTTAAATATCAGGTTTAAACATCATGATTTGTTCTACTCGTAATGATCTGTTCATAAACAGATCCTGAAATCTGAAACTGCAATATGATGATACATTTAATATTGGGCTAGGGTTTTGATTTGGTCACAGTAACATACAATTTGTATTATTATTATTATTATCATTATTTAAAATAAAAAAGACAATAAGAAAACAATAATGTCAAAATTCATGCTCTTTTTTTTTCTCTGGGACCCCAATAATCAGATAATAATAAATTATTATTACTGTTGTTGTTGCTGTGGTGGTATTATTGTCAGTGTTGTTAAAAAATAATAATAATGGAAAAATTTCATTTTTTTTCCCTCTGGGACACCAAAGATCAAGAACATAAAATGAATTTTAACCTTATTATTATTATTGTTGTTAAAAAATATAATAAAATAAAAGTTTAATAACATTTTTTTTCTGGGACCCCAAAGATCAAGAACATAGTATCAGGGTTTAAGGCGAGACAAGTGAAGAAGTGAAGTGAAGGTGAAGGGGAAGTGAGCGGAAGAGAAGAGAAGAAAAGAAAAGAAAAGAAAAGAAAAGAAAAGAAAAGAAAAGAAAAGCTATGGGAAATTTACCAAAAACTATGCAATGAGAAACATGTAATTGGATTGCAGTGGGAAATATGAGTTAATATATTGAGGGAATATATGTATCTGTAATAAACACATTATGTTTGTTTTGTTGAAGTAGCATACCTGGCCTGAGGGTCAGGTGGATTTTTTGTGGTTGGATCTGAGTGATGTCGCTGGCTGAAACCCCTGCCTTGTTACTCAGCGGTACATCCTCTAGGATCCTCATGCTGCTAACTGGAAACTCAATAAACCTTACGCCACAACCAGACTGAATGAGACTGTCTTTGACATCACACCGGGACAAACTTGACCCTCCCTTTCCGAAGATCTAACAGACACACACATACACATAAGCAGGGCTGCCAACTTTTGAGTTTAGAAAAAAAAACTTGCATCACAAGTGTATTGTGATTGTCAAAAGATTTGGTAACAGAATTTTATTAAGTTTAGTGTGTGACAACATGTTACAATGTTTACAGGGTAGGCTAAAGACTGGTAGACTATTGTTTTTATTATCGCTTGCCTTGACACAAATTTCACGATTTCAATTCAATTCTTGTGATTTGATTCCGATCTTGATTCAATATCGATTCCTTTGGATAAATATTAGGTACAGTAGATAGCCTTAATTTTTCTTAAGAAAAAAAAAATATCTCACCTAATGCTGTAAACATACAGAGAGCCCTGTCAGCTGGTATTATTATTAAAGGTTAAAAATTAACTAATTAAGTTAAACTGTATCTTTCAACATACCTATTGTTCATGTGTGTTTATTTACTATTTACTAGTAGAGTAAGGGATCGGTTCAGGTGCCGCTTGAACTGAGGCGAGCCTAGCGATCTGTCACGTCACATTTACAAGCTCCAAAACGGTATTGTTTGAATTTTGTGATAAAATTGATAGAATATGAGAGCTGGGAATTTGTTTTATATCAAAAGTAACCTCCTCTGTGTCTGTGTCCTCTTTGCTTCGCAATTTTACTCTGCGTAAGAAAATGGATGTGTGGCGTGAGAGCGTTTGAAAAGTGTGTGTGTGAGAGTTGGCAGTCCTGTGATAACAACCAGAGTGAGACATTTCAAGCAGCCATTTGTGTGTCTATGCGAGTGTGTTTACTTGTGCATGTGGTAGGGTTGCCACCTGTCCCGGTTTTACCGGGATTGTCCTTCTTTTTAATAACCTGTCCCGGGAAATTTACGCACTCTCCCGGGACACTGAATGTCCCGGTTTTCGAAAGGCTACGTGAATATGTATGTTCAAACTGTGTAGCGCGCGCAACGGCAGAGAGCGAGAGACCTTGCGTGTGTGTGCTAGTGTGAGTCGAGTCTGCCTCAAGAAGCGCATAAGAAGCGCATGTAATCTGAGTGTGGAGCGCGCTTGCTGCACGAGGCGCGGGCGCGAGCACTTCCGTTTTTCTATCAACAGTGGAAACAACTTAAAATAGGCCTACTACTCTATCATTTCTGGTCATAGAAAATAAACATCATTCGCAACAATACATCATTCGCAACTACTTTTATTTGTGTAAACTCACAATAACAAGAAAACGTTGTGCTTTTGTAAAATAAAATAAAACAATCAGTCGCGCTCTTTTATGGTCTCCGTGAACTGGATCGCGTCTCAAAATAAACAAGCCCATAGGCTAAAGCTTGAAATGTCCACTTTTAAACGAACAAATTCGAATCAAAAGAAAATACAGTCTGATTATGTAATCCATATGAATTTCTTCTCTAAAGGCGCATCTGCTTTACAGCGGAGATGGAGATATGTTGCAGCCGATTTAGAAAATACTAGTTTATTAATAAACAATTAAAATGCCTCGTTACTTTTTCAGAAACATTTATAATAGCCTATAAATCATCTATAGCCTTAGAAATATAGTGTTTGGCCTTAGAAAACCATTTTATCCATATAATTTGTGAATATTTTAAATGCTTATTAAAGGGGCAAAAAAAAAATCATGAACAAAAATCTGAAAATACGCGAATATAGGATATATTTTTGCGCAGCATTTGGTGTATAGGCGGGCCTACAGTTAAAATTTAAATTTTGGTGTTCAACCGTTCATTTTTGGTCTTCAAACACCCCTCTCCCCCCCCCCCCCCCCCCCCTCATTTGGGCGGGTAATATGTCCCGGTTTTTTATCAGACATAGGTGGCAACCCTAGCATGTGGATGAAATTGTGTTTATTACCTCCTGAGTGCACCAGGCACAGGTTGGATGGATCGACAGACATTCTTTACAGCTACTCACTCCTCTGGAAGTGCAAATGTTAGAGCCTAGAGAAACAAGACTAATATCATATCTATGCTTTAAATGGTTTATAGCCTACTCTTTAGAAATTTCTTCTTTCAGGTTCCATTGTACAGCCTCTCAAGTGTGTTGTAACAAGTGAAAAAGTAATCAAATGTAGGAAATAATAATAATAATAATAATGTTTGCAGCACATGCACATTCCTCTCATTCTGTGATTAACTAAACAATAACAAAAGGCAAACTTACTTGTAGCTGAGGAAACTAGAAGTAAAACTGGTATCCAAACTTCCATCAAATTTAGTCCCATTTTAACAGAATCAAACTACTGAATGCCTCCTGCTGTAGAAACTCTGTTTCAACTCTGATTCCCTGATGCACAAACTGGGAGTGGAAACTACGGTTCCGGGACATGTAAGAACAGGTGACCAAATGTGTTTCAGCATTTCGCAAATGTTATCTGTTTCATCATCAAGATGCAAGGAAATGTATAACCACAGGCAAGTAAAGACTCAGCAACACCCTGCTGAAAAAAACCCGCTTAGACCAGCTTTGATACCTTGGGCTGGGCTGGTTTGTTGGTTTAGAGGGGTTTTGGACACTTTAGCTGGGCAGGATTGCTGGTTAAGCTGGTGGAAAAACTAGCATAAACCAGCATGGAAATTATGCTGGTCTTTTCGGCAGTGCACTGATAAAAAAAAAAAAAATTCTGTGGATTCCTGTGCAATTTACTTAAAACTTACAAAAGAAAACTTAAATAAATTTTACGCATTGTTTTTTCAGTGTAATGAACACTGAATGGCAGCTTGGGGCCTCTGTATTTCCGACAAAATCTTACGGTAGTGATGTGACATTTGAACCGAGGCATCGGAGCTTGTGTCGAGAAAAAATGGGCGTGCCAGATGAAGCCGCGATTCGAGGCGTGTGTTGTTAACGTGAAAATCACGTGACTGATGACAAACGAGGCCTCGGTTTGTGTGGATACGTCATCGGTTCGGTCTGAGTGTCGCTTCTGGATAAAGGGGGTTCGAAACTCGCGCCACCTTGTGGGTGTTGCAGGAGTAGTAAGCACTTGTAGCGTGTCAGAGAGTCAAAATTTAGAGAACTCTCATTGTCGTTATTGTGTCATATATGTGTTAGGGCTGTATATTATTACATTATATCAGGTTAGAATAGTTATTAATAATAATGAATAATTGTTATTATTAATTATAGTAGCTATATTATAGTCTTGTTATATTAATTAGATAAGATTATTTGGATTGCTTTGGATTTTTGGTAGCTTAGATTTTTGGATCTGGACTGGACTGCTTTTTAATTTGGATTGCCCTTTTGGATTTGTTTGCTTTTTATGACATCTTCCTTTTTCATGGTAATGGAGCCAGCAAGAAAGAGCAAGAATCTTCATGTATACCCGCTGGCACTGACATTTTATGTTCCCCTGCATCCTCTGTTCCTTGTGAAAGGATATTTTTCCAAGGCTGGTGAGGTTTTGTCCAAGAAGAGGAATTGTCTAAATCCCAACACACTTCAAAAAATTAATTTTCTCAATAAAAATCTATTGCAATCCTTCCTTTATCCACCCCAAACTGGTGTTTACTGCAGTTTACTTTATTACACTTCCTCGAGTCCCTCCACCATAAGCACTGCACTCAACACAGTCACTTTTGTTGTTCATACTGTCCCTATCCAATATTTTTTGGAATAATTAATTAACTGTGTGTGTGACAGTTGTCTCTGTACAAATAAATGCAGACAGAGAAATATACACGTTTTATTTCATACCCAGGCAATGGACAAATGTCTGCACAGATCTCTTTATTATTGCAAATGAAAGGTTACAGAGACATTAACTTATATTTAGAAGAAGATAAATAAATAAAACATTGCGGGAGGGGGGCGGGTCATTGGTTCAGAATGAATTAATTTGCCTGCAATTTCTTTGCACAATAGCTAGGTGTCACTAGTGAGCAATGCTAAATGAAGCTTCGAGTAATGAACCTTTGGTTGAAGCAATGGGCTGCGAGGTCTCAGTGGTTCAGGAAGCCTCATCTTGCCATCACTATCTTACGGCAATTCCGTAATTCATTTAGCCTAGCTAAATCGTATGTTTTACGAGTTGCCCAATTCGAATGAATTCGTACGAATGACCTACCCCTGACCCCGCCCCTAATCCTACACATCACTGGGGTTTAGACCAATTAAAAAGCGAATTAGCAATATCGTACTCGTACACACACATGTAGTTAAAGGCACAGTATGGAATTCAATAAGTACTAACAGCTTCCTCTGTATTTATAGAAGTAACCGCCTTACATAATATAATCATCTAAAACAAATCAAACTTTTTAGAACATCCTATTAAATATGAGGCATTTACTATTCTTTGGGCCATATTTTCTATTTTTCCATGTATTCTTTTTGTTTGTTTTATCTATTTATTAAGATTATATTTAAGACGTTTGTTTAAAGAAAAAAACATAAAGGTGTATAATAACCAGCTTGCACCTTCTTAGCCACAAAGTTGAACCAGGTGTTTGCAACCATCTAGTGGCTATATTACTGTTGCAGAAAAGCATGCCAAATATTCACCTCAATTATGTTGATTGCATTCACAGCATATTTCAAGGCAATTTATGCACTTCACTACTGTAAGAGATAAACATTATACTTATGGAATTTTACTGAAAATTATGAAATTATACTGGAACGATTAAGATCCGATAAAGTAGTAAATGGAACTGTGGAAAAACAAGATCAAAGAAAGAAAAAAGTATGGCATGGTCATATAATAAAATATACACAATAAAAAAGCAGAATAAGACAACTAGAAAAATGTGGCTGTATATATATTTTTTAAAATGAATTCGCAGTAATGCAAAAATATAATTTATAATAAAAACAAACAAACTAAATATATGAGAGAAAATAGTAATGGTAAACTGTTAATAAAAATAAAAAGAGAGAATCATAGACAAAAACAATTTTCATTTGTGCACTTATTTATGTGTGCATGCTCCTGAATTTTTATTTGGCCAAATACTTTATAAACATCCGACACGGCAAAGCTCTTTCATTGCTTTAATATTTTATGAAACAGGTTAACTCTGTGAATCTCTCTCTTTCCAGCTCTCAGCTTTCCCTCTACTTACCTTCATTTTTACAGTCCATTAAAGGAAGTGGGAATGAAGGAAAGGATGAGATGCACGCTAGAGAAAAAAACACATCTCCATGCTGAGCATGAGACTGAAGCCTGACACATACTCAGACCTCCTCTACAGAAATATAAGACTACATGCCTTCCTTTAAAAAAATATTTTCCTCCTAGGTGGCTCACGCTTCCCCTTTCCTGTTATCCATCCTTCTCTTTTGCTTGTTAAACAGTAGATTATGCTTGATGCTTGCAGTGTGTACTATTGTGTATCTCTGTGTGAGAATTAGGCCTACTGCTATTTTTGATCGCTCAGCAAGCGGCCCTCATGACACTGTAGTGAAAATTAGAATTTGCTTAACATGCTAATTGCTTTTAAACTCAACTATGGATTTTGACTGTGCTACTGCATGTATAGGCAGTGTTGTGGAAAGTTACTTTTAAAAGTAATGTGTTACAATATTGCGTTACTCCCCAAAAGAGTTACTAATTGCGTTAATTAGTTACTTTCTATGTGTTTTTGCATTACTTTTTCTAACCTGGACTGGAAATAACAAAAAAGTTATATTTTTGGCAAAATTAAAGGCCGTTCACACCAAAAGTAAAATGCTCCAGGAGAAGAAAATTTAACACACAAAAAAAACAAAACAAAAACATAAATCTGATGTTTAACTAAAGTAATTTCTGCTAATTAGATTGGTTGAATTGGATCATCGAAGGTCAACAGCTAACACCTTGGTTAAAGTCCCCCTGTGGTCAATAATTGTATCCCTTATCTTTGATCACTAAAATGAAATATTTAAACTTCATATTTAAATTTCTTCATGCCTTAAAATAGCTTGAATGTAAATCTACACCCTTGCCTCATTTACTATACACGGTTCTATGAATATTCAAATTAGCCCCGCCTCCACTCACTCACACCAGCTCAGAGATCCACTCATTGACAATCACGACATGATGGGTCACAACTCACAGGGTAGTTTATGACTTCAGTTTTAGGGAGATAATACTCAGCATTGGTGTTTACTTATGAAATTGCACATGTTTGTCTTAAAGCATATTAAAAACACCACAAACAACATTAAAAGCTTGATTTTTCACCACAGGGGGACTTTAATAAAGTGAAATTAAATACATACATTATGTATTTAACATTTAATTATTTCAGGTTTCCTTAATAGTTTTCATTTCACTGTTTTTATTTATTTTGAGGAATACTGTTTTTCTGCAAGTGAGATGAGTAAATGCCTGCTCACATTGAACTACAATAACCATCATATTCACAGCACACAAAAGACCTGCACAATACTCCCAATTTCTCTCAACATGGAGTCAGGAAAAGTGTCAGTCAATAAATGGGAAAACAAAGTAAACTTGAGTTACTTATTTAAAAAAGTAACTCGGATATTTACCCGTTACTTTAAAAAAGTAATCTAATCACGTAACTCATGTTACTTGTAATGCATTACCCCTAAAACTATATGTAGGTGCCACTTCAGTTCAAGAACATATGCCGTAAAACAGCGATAAAGACTTGATGATTAATGGAATATATGGCCACTATAGGCCTGGGATGAAATGAGGATGGGAAATCAAGTCAAATGTGTCATAAGCTTGTGTAAGCAGAAAGGCCTTTTTGGAACCAGACTCTGGTGACAGGAGAGGAGACTATATTAGCAGAAAGACACCATGACAACCTGCGTTTAATTCACAAATCGAGAATTTTCAATCACAACAGTTGTAACTGTGTGTATGCATATGTGTGCAGGTGATAGAATTAGAAACAAATGACTCAAAGAACAATTACGACTGATTAAGATGCACGTTTACAATGATCATGACAGAAATTTTGGTTATCAGTTCAACAGTTACATGCTCAAAATAATTAATTGGTTTGAGTAGGGTAAACTTAATTTAAAGAAATTAGTTCAATCAAATTAACTTTTATGAATATATAGAGGTTTATTTTTCTTTTGCGTTCACAAAACTGACATTTAATTAATCTGCATAGTTTCATTGTTTTGAGTTTTAAAAAATTGTTTCTTTTAATTTAGACAAACTTAAATTTAACTGAAACTCCATGGGCAGGGATTTATATTTCCCAGCATGCTTTGCCATGACGCTCGAAAGGGAGAGTAAATATTAAAATTAAGTGTTGTATTATGTTTTTTTGTGCAAGATTAATGTTAAGTGGGCGATTTGTTTAATGTTTTGCTTTGCTAATTTAGAAGAGTTTCTGTTATGTGGTTACCATCATGGTGACGAGTGGAGCATAAGCTTAGTTTAAACTTCTATTACCGGTATCTCATATTGACACAGCAATTGCTATGCTTATACAATCATAACAATGTGAAACCACATAGCAATTTAACATTTTCTGATTTAGCTAAAATACTAAATTTGAGATAATTTTAAGTGAAATGTATGAATTGTCTCAATTAAAATATAGAGTACAAAATAAGACAGTTCTGCTTGCTTAAAATGTGAATTTCTTAACTTAAAAATGTTGACGTAACTGAGTTTTGCCAACTTATTTGGGTTTGCAGTGTGCTTCTATCACCAAATATAGCATACACTTGAAAAAGCTACGTTATTTTCTTTTCTCTGACCTGGAAAATAAATTTAAAGTGATTTTTCATACTACTCATTTTGAAGGCTATTATAGGGTTAGGGTTCCAAAATCAGCTTTATTAATCCACATTTGTTCAATTAAAATTTAAAAATGGTTAATTAAAAATTAAGGTGCATCACTGGATTATCTATGCTAATAACCTATCGAAGATTATGCATGAATAACCTTTTTTATAGATTTTTTTTTTTAATGTGGCAAAATTGGCCAGTTATTTCACTTACCCTGTTCTGCATGGCTCACCATTGGACTTGGAGAGAAATAAACTAAATGCAGTGCGATGTTTTAAACAACTTTATTCAAAGCATGCTGCACAGTTGCATGTTTGCAAGTCAATATTACAAAATATTCCATGCTTCATTGAGGTGTTACTTAGAAAGTGTCTGACACACAGCGAGCACCGCGCATGCAGAGGGAGAGACGTCAGCCGCTGCGATCAGGGAAGAAGTATTTGGAAAACGTGCAAGTGCCACAATAGACGAGCATCTCCCCCTCTCGGCCACAAGTTAAACTCCAAGAAAAATACATTTTGACATCTTCATAATCAAAACACCTGTGATTTAAGGTACAAAAGTCAGCGTTCACAAAACAACATGCTCTTGGAAAAGATTGTCTAATACAAACCAGGGTGGTGGTGGGTTTGGGGAAGTCAGAATTTCTACAAGGCTTGAACCCCCACCCCCAAAAGGGAGTCAAAACAAGATTTAGAGGGTCTTGGCAAATGCACATTTTTTTTACCCATATAAGTAGGCTACTATATATGTTTTACATATGGTTTTCAGTAATAATAAAAGTTAGACCGATTATTTTTACATGTCGCTAAATTGCGCTGGCAAGGAAGTAACCATGACAACACGTAGCTCATGCGCTTTCCATTATGACGAAGTTTGTGCGGGTGCGTCAATAAATCATAAGTTATCGTGTCACTTTATGACAAAAACATTTGTGTTCTATATTCTAAATAAGGGCAACTTTCTTGCGCCCAAGGAGGCTACAATTTGCGTTTCGCAAGACGAACCGTCGAGCGTCACGCTAAAGTCATAGTTCGCATTCTTTTACAAATAATGCAGAAGGTAGCTATAGGCTACTCTGCTTTTTATGAGGTAAAAACGTGTAAACACTTAACTGTAAAAAAAAATCACAAGCAAAATGACCTTAAAATACAAAAAGCTACGTAAACATGAATAAATACATTCTTATTTTGTAAACGTGCAGCTGTCATCTTTGTTTCAGGAACAGTTCATCCACATGGCCTTTTCTTCCCAGAGCACAAAGGGAGTGAATGTAAAAGTTGCATATCTTCCTGCCTCCCAATCTGAGGATAGGCTAATTGCAGGCCGGTTACAGGTGACACTCGTGGCTAACTCAGTCCGATCATCACCGCCTCGACGTCTTTGGATGGTCTCCGGTCCTTGACAAGGAAGTTAATCATACTTTCGGACTTGATCATGAGGTTGCACCCGAGAAAGAAGATCCCGAACATCACCGTGAGTGAAAGAACGCACAACACCGCGATCTGCACCACGCGCGTAACGAACAGCTTGCGCTCGTCGTGAGCGAGAACTAAAGACCCGCCGCCGTCGTTTGCGGTCACCTCGCTCCCGTTACCCGTGCAGCAGTCAACGAGAGTCCCCGCGAGCTCCTGACTGCGGTTGAGCAGAACGCCGTGCGTAAACACCGTGTGGTTGAAAAACGTTCCGTTCATGCTGAGCGGAGACGCAGAAGACTGTGGCTGAAGACGATCGAGCCTCTTATGGCATCAACTCACTTTCTGCAACTGCCTGTTGAGTCTGGCAAGTTTTATGAGGAGAAAAAGTAATAAAAGTATCTCCTAAAACCATTTGGGATGGTTCATGCCTTCAGTTTACACGCAAATTAGATTAAAAAAAGTGCCCCGTTTCTGTTGCGTTCTCTCACACTTGGCTGTCAATAAGTAGTCTTTACTAGCACGATCAACGCCCAAGGCACTTGCAAAGCCAATGCAACTCAGCTGAAATCTGCGCGCAGGTTTCGTGCGTGTGCACGTGCGTGCGTGTGGTCCATGGGAGGGGGAGAGGGGAGGTGTGGGGGCCGGGAGGGAGAGAGAAAGAGCGCGATCAGCCTGGATGTCGCCAGGGAGACTATTCTGTGTCAGAGCTAGAGAGGATGCTCTAATCAATGTGATTTAATCCAGTGGTCAAAAATGTCAAACCTTGATCGCTCTGGAAAATCACAAGAAGCCCATGCACGCCTTGAGCTGGATGGATGAACCTCTATGGTTGGTGATTTTTGAAGTCTTTCCGTCTCATGTTGTCCTATTCAGACCCTGCGTTTATCCCATGGACATCACTTTTTTGTAGTGTTTTTAGAGTGAAGCCAATGGCACTTTTTAAAATAAAAAACTTTGGAAATCAAGCATGGCAGACACAATACCTTTGTTAACCCCTCTAAAGCCAAATATATGAACTAATAGTCAGAATTTTATTTTTTTATTGAACTTAAAGACAAAATATTTGAAAGAATTATTTAAAAGTAAAAAAAGTTTGCATTTTTGTTTTTTGTTGAGTATCATTTGATATATCAGGCTTTTACCCTCTAAGGGACCTTTCGGTTTTATGGAAAGGGCCACCGGAGGAAAATAGGGGAGGGTCATGTCTTTTTATTCTTTGTTGAGGGGAGGGTCATCCAACTTTTTTTAGTCTATAGGGGAGGGTCACCCAACTTTTGTATTCATCAAAACAGCTACATTTCAAAGTGGCTTGTTTGGTGCATATTTTTTCCATGTAGCTCTTTCGGTCTCGGCCCCCCATCGCTATCAGATGGGTCTGACCCAACAAAAATCCAGTTTGGCGCTGTTTGACAGTGCGCGCGCACTTCAGTACGCGCTCAGAAAAAGTGTATTAGAACAGAACGCCAAAGTAATGGTTTACCCGGCAAAGCTTTAAAGCACGAGCAAATAATGAACTTTTGCGATTGCGAATAAGTGCAGTGTCCTGTGAGTGTAACTCTACCGCTGCATTAACATGTGATGTGAATGTACGTCGAGTTTTACTGTATTGGGACTGAGGCGCCAGAACTCCAGCTGATATAATGTGCGCTGTAGCACGATACTATTTTAGTTTCCATTCTTATTGTGTTTCCACAACAATGTTAGTGAGTAAATCTACTGAAATTGCCCCCATAACAGTGGAGTGTGATGTGTTAGACGTAGGGCTACCACATTTTTAAATTACTATTAGTATTATTTGAAGTTATAATAAAATAGACCTACACCAAAAAAACTAGTTGAGGATAAATTCTTTAAAATTGGGCAATTCCAGCGTTATGGATGTCACATTTGCTGTCAAAACATGAAATATAAATTCTCAGAAAATGCATTTAATACTGAAACGCCTGTTTATATATTCATACTCCAAGGCGGGCTTACACGGTGCGATTTTTGTTGTTGTTGCTGTTTTAGGAGCTCGCAGATGATTTTTTTTCACTCGGGAGAAATCGCGTGGAAATCGGTTGTGCTCGCATGTTGCGGCTCGTGTCGTGTGCTAGGAAGATACGAGCCGAGCCGAACCTCTCGACTTCACGATAATTTTTAAACATGTCTAAAAAGTTCGGGAGCTGTAGGCTTGAATTCGTGAGGTGTGTGCGCTGTGCGGTTGAATGAGCCGATGTGTCGATCTATCTGAATTTGACCAACCAGGAGCTGAAGAAATCCACAGAAGAAAGACGAAAATGGCAAAGCCACCGCGAATTTGGACTATTGAAAGGGAAGCCTACTACTTTATTATGATTTTAGTATCATAATGATTAATAAATGCATGCACAATTATCAGTGAACTTGATAAATGTTGCAGATATGTTTTAATATGCACAAACAAATGCCTTTCAACTTGTGTGCAAAATTCAGAATTTAATAAATGTGCAGCAATTTGTACAAATAGAGTCTGTATATGTGTTGTAGCCATAATAAGCGCATTTTCATATTATAATGTTTTTTTTTTCTTCATCTATGGTAATTATGAAAAGTATAGCCTACGCAATATATCGGGAGACATGGCCAGACATGATTTTGACCACTTCATTAAGTGTTGTTTTGTAGAAAGCCTTTCTTTAAAGTGAATTTCGTTTTGTATAAATTGTATCTTAATTTTAATCAATGTTTCATCAACAAATTGTCTGGATTTAATATATAAGAAGTAAATAGTAGAAAATCATCATGACACGGAGGCGCCTGCGCGTGAACTGGACTCTTGTCAAATAAATTAACCGAAACATCATAATAGGCTGTAGTAGGCTACTTGCCTCACAGATCTGATAAATATATAGAAAGCTTGACATGTCTACTTTTTAACAGAACAATTCAAAACGAAAGAAAACAGACAGACTGCTCTCTGCTTATGTAATCCGAAATGTGCATTTCTCTCTGGCGCTTTCACTATTGCGAAGATCGCGAGTCAGCATCGTCACCTTTATATTTGCAACCGACACTGACAAAGACTTGTTTATTAATAAACAATTAAAATGTCCCCTTGCTATATTATTCATAATCGTTACTTTTGCTGGTTCTTTGTGGCAGCTTTAAGATACTTTATTGGCAGCGCCACCCTTACATTTTACATGAACGCGTCACCACTGCATCAGCACCGAAAACATGATTTTTTTATCCAAATCAAAAATTGTGATACGAACCGAATTGTAGGTTTGGTCTATCATTACAGCAAGATGAGAAAGCAGGAGTTTAGTCGTTTATCATGGAATGGCTATCTGAACATCTTTGCCAAGCACAAACCAGAAAAGTAGCCTAATCAATAAATTATCGGGGAGGGTCATGCCTTTTTTCACAATCATTTTGGAGGGTCATATAAAAAATTATTGCTGGCGAAGGGAGGGTCAAGTCTTTTTTGACTACAGATCTCAAATCTCCTCCGGTGGCCCCTTAAATAAATAACGAACAGTCCCTAATAAATTGTTTCAACTTAAAGGGATAGTTCACCCAAAAATGAAATTTAGCCCATGATTTACTCACCCTCAAGTAGGTGTATATGACATTCTTCTTTCAGACGAATACAATCTGAGTTATATATATATATATATATATATATATATATATATATAAAAAGCCCTGTCTCTTCCAAGCTTTATAATGGCAGTGAATGGCTGTTTCTGTTTTGAAGTCCATAAAAGTGCATCTATCCTTCAAGCGATGAGTTTGTGTAAGAAAATATTCATATTTAACGCGTTACAAAGTAAAATTCTAGCTTCCATACCTAGTCTACTTACGCCTAGTGCAACTTACGTAACTTGTGACGTCATTTAGCGCAGTGCGTCATGGCGTACCGTAAATATCAGCAGTACATCGCATTACTCGCATAAGTTGCGCTTTAAGGGGGTCGCACACCGGACGAGAAGCGCAGCGCCGCGCCACGTCTAGGACAACTCCAGGTATCGCACACCGGACACGCACATTCTATTCGAGCGAGCTCAATTTTGAATCAACTCCTGGTAGAAGAGCTGCACAATGTGAGTTTTAACTTGATTTATTTTTTACATTTTTTATGTTAATTGAATAATAGCTGATGTTTGAACGTTAATCAAGTAAAAGTGTCTATCACGTTAAGTCTGTTATTTTGTTGTAACGTTATTCGTTGTCTAGGCAAATATGTCACATAATACAATAGTATTTATTTAGCTAGCGTTTAGCTAACCCGAGTGAAAACAGCACAGGGTGAAGCCATGTACATTAACGACGATGTGAGACAAATAAATGTACATTTACTATAAAACTATGCAAATGGCGCTCTGTGGCGCGGCAGGGTATTGAACAAGGTCCTGAGCCGTACCTGGGCGCCGCGGACAGATGCCGAATGGCGCCGCCGGTGTGTGTACACTCATAGAGAATAATGTGTTCGAATTTAAAAGATGTGGCGCTGCGCGACGCGGCGCTGAGCTTCTCGTCCGGTGTGCGACCCCCTTTAGACTTAAGTCGAATCCGTATGTTCATTTGGCCGGAAGCTAGTTGTTTTATAAAGTTTTAAATATTGGATATTTTTCTTACACGAACGCATCACTTCGCTTCAGAAGGCCTTTATTAACCCCTCGGAGCCGTGTGGAGCACTTTTATTATGGACATATGCATTTTTATAATGGATAGATGCACTTTTATGGACTTCAAAACAGAAATGGCCATTCACTCCCATTATCAAGCTTGGAAGAGCCAGGACATTTTTTAATATAACTCCGATTGTATTCGTCTGGAAGAAAAATGTCATAAGACCTAGGATGACTAGCCTAGAAATCTAGACGCACCCTAGCGGCAGCGAAAATTATTTCGCAGCCAGTGTGGTCTAGCAACTCTCCATAGGCTTTTGAGCTGGAAAAAACAAAAACTGGTCAGGCCAATCACATCGTGTATAGAGTCGGCGGGCGGGCTTAACACAATGACGGCACAGTTCATGACGTTCCGCGCATGGTTCCGCGTGGCGTGATTTCCATAGGTGACTGATTTCCCTGCTACTTGAAAACAATGAAGATGCAGCGGTCTTTCGAATCGGCTTTGGCCGCGACTCTGGAGGACTTGGAGTTAAGAGAACGCCACTTAAGTCATTCTTAAAAAAGGAAGATGTGTTCGGAGTTTTGCCGACCTTATACGGCAAAAGTTTAATATATCAATTAGCTCCACTGGTGGAAAAACGCATGGGACTCACTCATCCACAGACGTTCGTTGCTCTGGTTGGTTGTAGCGTTATCCTATTGCGTGCAGAGGGATTTTGAAAGGTAACCGTTTATCTCGCCCCTCGGATTGAGGCATGTCAATGGAGAGTTCCCAGACCTAACATCTTGATGTAGGTCTGGCATGCCAGGCTATAGGATGACATGAGGGTGAGTAAAATCATGGGGTAATCATTTTTGGGTGAACCATCCCTTCAAAGTATTCATGCTGCCTTAAAATCTTAAAGTGACAACAGCAAAGAGACATGTCCCACGCCATTTTTGGTGGACAAGGTGGGCATTTTTACAATTATGCTAAAAGGCCTTTACTGATAATAAAAGTAGTATAAA